ATGAAAACGATCTTCCGGACATCGACGAAGACCCCTTCTCGCACTTCATCTCACCACCCATCACCGAGGCTGACGACCCATACGAACTGTCCCTGAGCGCAGGCATCGACGTCCAGGAAGGACCACGCACCACCAAGTCTTCCAAGTTCAAGTCCAACCTCGCCAACAAGTGGACCCGCTATGTCAAGCACAACCACAGCCAGCTCCACACTCAGTACCACGCGCCTACCATCTACGAAGAGGACGAGGAGGAGTCATTCATGGGGCTGGACGACGATCGATTGAACGACACGCCACAAGTCGTATCTCAGCTCAGCCCTCCACGGATCAGAATCACTGAACCATCACGAGGCCGCGCCCAGGATCTCGCAACTCGCAAACAGCAAAACCGTCGCCGGTACTCGCGCACACTATCAGGTCATCGCCACTCATGGAGAGAACCCAGCCCAGACCTGTTCACTGTAGACGAATCTGAAGAGGAGGATGTTCCTGCGCTACGTCGCGCAAAGACTAGGAAGCCCAAAGACGGTGCGGAACGCCGGAGGTCATCGACCCGATCAAAATCAAGAGCACGAGTCGACTCGGTAACGGGAGAGTCGATCTTGTAGCACGGTAGCACGGCGGGATAGAGAAAAAGGTGCATCATGGGGGAGGGGTTGGATACACAGCATAGCACGGCGTTGGTGGCTTTTTGACTTTACACACAGCATTGGGAGGCGTTTTTTGGTATACCACGGGCTTGCATTTTTATGGTTTCACGCATTGGGCGGTGTTTTCTTGAGCATTTACACATACTGTACTGCATTACGTGCCGCGGCAGCATGATAGCGATCGAACAACAAACAAATTCCACTTCATAATATCTTCAAGCTTCATCCCCTCCTTCGCACTTGGCTCGGTGATATTGCTATGACGACCTCATCAAACGCAACGGGCCAACCCCTTCCATTGACAACCTCCGTCGGCGGTATACTGAGTCGGGCACACGCAACCATCCCCCACCCGAAAACGCGACTACTGCAGACTAAGAGACAAGCGTGCAGTACCGTGACCTCACGCCGCATAACCCACGATAGCGAAAAACCACCAACAGTGCCCAAATTACCCCTCCACACGCCAGCAGCGAACATCCCTCTTTCGCGCGCTTACCGCCCCTACCCTAAACCATCCGAAAAACCTCCGCGGCGACTGTCACAGCAAGAATAATCGGGTCTCCCGGCACCACCGCTACAGAGGCGAAGATAATCTTATCTTACCAGCCAACTCAATTTTTTTCTTCTCCTGTTTCCGTTCAGCCTCACGATTGCCTGCAGTAGACCAAGTCGTGATTTTCGTCTGCCATTACTTCAACCAGCACTAGCCATAACCGCTTTGTTCTGTATCTTGCATGCAGCCTCGTGCACTGCGCATGTTGCATGAGAAAGTGTGCCCAAGAAACATCTACCGGCATATATCCATCAGCTTCACCAACCACGTTTTCGGATTCTTTACCCCTCACTTCGTCCATTCACGAAGCGCAGCGTGCCGACATTATCGCAGGAAAAGGGTGTTTTGCACCGCGCATCTTTTTTTTTGGTGTACTTTACGCGAAGAGATCTACACATGTACACAGCTTACCTTTCCCAAAGTTGCTGTAACATGACCTGATATATCGTGACCACTTGTCATGTCCACGCTTTTCCATCCGCTTCGGATGGCAAGACCCTGCGTTTTGGACGATGTACCCTTTTGACCCTTACAGATAGGACGGCGATCTTACTATGGCGTGCGCAAAGGGTCACGCGGCGCGAGATAGGCGGCGGAGGGCTTTGATCCGGGGTCGGCATAGTTGACGATGGTACTGAATCATGAGGCTGCCTGTCGTGATTGTGATTGCGACAGGCGGGGTCTAAATCTTTTTTGGTGGTTTCCTCGTTACGACGGTGGGGTGGGGTGTGGGTTGGGCATGTGGCCTGTCTTCGGGAGGAGAGTGGCTTCCTGTGTAGAAGGGCCGACTCTGTGGGGTCGGCATTCGGAGACCCACGGCGCGGATTGGTGGCTGGATAAGATAAATGTGAGGTTGGGTGTGCTACGCCTGTTCGCGATCGAGATCGTGAAGGATGTGGTGTTCGCCGTGTGCATGGCATGATCCGCAAGAAGTCGTCATGTCGAAGGATCTGGATATGTCGTGCGCAGCGCTGCAGCCGCGTGGCTGTCTGCGACGCAGGGCAATGATAATAAGGAAAGCCGATCTATCTTGCGTCTCGCTAAGTGGACCACAGCCTGGGGAAGCTTACGCGTGGAGTAGACTGAGTTTCGGGAGGCGTTGGAGTGGAGATGGTCATTGAAGACGATCACATCGCCACGTTGAACAAAGGGTGAATGTTCATTGCAGTCAGTGTTGATACACACATCCGATAGCAATTGTATGCTTCCGACATGCAAATGTTACCTGTAGGTGTACTCGTGCAAGCAATCCCCTCATGCGCGTGATTAGTGCAGATCTTCCAAGGTTACGCGCACTACGCGTCGGCCGGAATGACGTCGTCACCTGAGACGCGACTCCAGCTTCCACCACCCATGCATCACATCCTTACACATCGTGACACCCTACCCTATCATCTCAACATCCTACAGTACCATCATGCCGCGCTTAGATGAAAACACACACCAAACCCTCCGCGATGCAGAACAGGGGATCCGAAGGCGAACCGCCAGTGCCTGGGACAGCTTCAGCAACTTCGCCCTACGCGACAATGTGCTCGAAGTAGCCGTTGGACTGATGTATGTGCACTTCTATAACAAAACACACGTAATAAACCATACTAACTCGCAACCCAGCCTCGCAGCCTCCTTCACCGCCGTCGCAAACTCCCTCGTCTCCTCCATCATCCTCCCCATAATCTCGCTCCTTCCCTTCCTCTCCCGCAACCTCGACGCCAAATTCGCCATCCTACAATCTGGACCCAACTATAACACCACCATATCCAATGGCTACAATACCCCTAAGCAGGCTGTTGACGATGGCGCCGTCGTACTAGCTTACGGCGAGTTCTTGGACAAGATTGTCAGGTTCCTGGTCGTTGCATTGGCGCTTTGGGTGGTGGCGCTGGCGTACTCGAGGGGCAGCGGGGATAACATCGTCAAGAAGCAGGTCAAGTGTCGGTTTTGCAGGAAGTATATTAGTGAAAAGGCTAAGAGGTGTGTGAATTGTACGAGCTGGTTAGATGGCAGGGAGGATAGAGGGTAGAACGTAGTTTGATGGTAAGTGCTCATATTACTACAGCAATGTTGATTTCATGGTCTACTGCGCGAGCTTCATGTTCATCTCGTCCTATCGAGTTCTAAAGCACAGCACCTCCATACCGCATCCTCGAGACGCTCCTCCCTCCACTTGAACTTCAGGTTGTCGCGTAGCGTGATCACACCCCGAATATGGCATGGACTATCTGGAAGACCCTGTCCTTCTTCTGAGTATTCCAAATGAAGACTCTCGATCGACCCATACTTTCGAATCATCGAGTGATTTCCCCAATCTAACTCGATACGGGTAGGCTCATCTTTCGATGGCACGACGTTACCATGGGCTTCGAAACGGAATCCGCCCTCGATTTCGCTCTCTTGGATGAGCTTGATCTTCGCACACGCAAGATCCTCCGTCTCGCTGTTAATGTAGGCGCCAAAGAAGTGATGGGGTATGCCCAGAAGTTTCTCTGCCCAATCTTCGTCTTGACCCTGTTCGTTGAGACGCATCGTTAAATAGATGTCCTGTCCACCGGATGAGCCATCGAAGCCAAGTGGCGCTATAGTAAGATATGTGGCTTTCTTTTCTGGGTTGTCGATAAACAGCCGCTCCAACCTGATGGGCATGCCGTGGAAGGATATGTGCACCGGGAATTGCGTCAATTCCTCTCGCTCAACCTCATCCAAATCACTGAAAATCGTTTCCTTGAATGCAGCTGCGTCGAGAGTGACATTAGACCTTCTTTGACCGCCACCGAACGTAGCATTTTCCGCTCTGTCCCAATCCGAAGGCCGGGGTCCAGACACATGAATGAACTGATCATACTTTGTCTCGTCGCACGATAAAAGCACTGCCTTATCTTCTTCCCACTGCTGGGAGTAGTAGTGTGAGCCGTGTCTCCATGTCCGCGTAAATCCTCGCTCTGTCATCTTCTGTCCGACGCAAAATAAATCCTGATAGAACGAGTCACCGAGCGAGCGAAAAGCCGTGATGAGGTCGACTTTACTTTTCAAGTCGAACTTCTCGCTCAAGATAAAGGTGAGTAGATACCTCTTGCCAGCATACTGTTGTGGCCCATAGTAGACAAGATCCTCAATTGTGGAGCCGCACCATGGGCCAAAGTTGAAGCGATACGGGGCTTTATTTTCCGGGACAATGCGCCTGTTCAGTTCCGTAGGGTGGAAGGTGTAGGCTTTCTGAAGAGAAGTAGAGGTGTTCCTCCGAAGTGACTGAGTTTGCCGGCGTGATTTGTGTGGAGACTTCACAACGCGAGCATCTTGAATGCGACTTGTCATCTCTCGTGATACTGGAAGAAACAGAACCGGGTATGTTGAAGAGATATTTTTTAGAGAGTAGTGGTCGTACAGTGAGGCAGCTGGGACACTGTTGCAGCCCGTCGATGTTGTAGAGCAAATACTTCCTGATAATGACCAGGCTTTATTCTATTGAAGAGGGACGTTTTCGTAAGAAGGTAGTGAGTACTTGATTGAAATCAAGGTTACTTACATCATGCCTAGGTAGGTGCGCAATCTGGACCCAAGAAGATAGCGTCAATAGCGTCACCCAAAACTCGACTACCAATCGATCGCGCCGATGAGGTCAATCAGGACTAGGAGATATCCAACCAACTCTTTAACGGGCTGAAAAGTCTTTTATGGTACTCTTGTTATCACTAGTCGCATTCCAGGCGATACATTGATGGTTTACCTGATGAGAAGAAACCTTGGTCTTGACACATCCTTGGAAAACACCGTGGAAAGCATGTGATGATGATAGTTTACTCGGTAATGCGATCAAACGCAAAAGCCTTCCAAACTCCATCCGGTAGCTTGCCGTGTTTCCAATCGAATGTAGGTCCCCACTTACTGCAACCAAAACCTGGCGGTGGAAGAATACCTTTAATCAGGTACTTTCCTCCGACCACTGGTGCTTCAACACCCTCCTGCAGAGTCATGTGCATGATTTCGCGATTCCCCTCATCCTCCAAAAGTCGCGGATCTAGCCAGTCTGGCTTGACGGATATCTTGCCTTCGTCAACTGCAGCGATAACGCCTCTCATCTCGAACCGAAGACCGGTCCTAATGACAGATTCGTCTTCGATCTTCTCGAAACGAGCATCGACTACGTCAACGTAGTACGTACTGCAAAGAGCGCCTGAGAAATGGAACGGAAGGCCCAGTATCTTTTCTGCCCAGCCCAGCGGTTTGCCCTCCTCATTCAACTCCATGGTGAGATGTAGGAACTCCGATGCCACATAATTTCCATTGATACCGGCGGGTAGAACAGTAAGATAGGTCTTCTTCTTCTCTGGGTCATCAATGTACAGGCGTTCAATTCGAATCGGCACCCCGAAGAAAGAGAGACGTATTGGATACGCCTCCCACCCCATCCCTTGTCCCGTATTTGCGCTTTCAGGTCGTAGCGCCGCGAGGGGCTCCGCATCGAAAGTTACTTCCGGCTTTCTATGGGTCCAAACGGTTGCCTTGTAGGGCGTTTCCATCTCTATGAAATGGTCGAACGGTGTTTTCTCGCACGACAAGTACCATTGTAGATGGGGGTTGAGATTCTTGGGATACTTGGCGCACTCATACACCGATCCTTCAATCTCAAATCTCTTGAATCCTCGTTTGGCGAGCCCCTTAGCGAAGGACGGGTAAAGGTGAGCTGTATACCACTCATTGTTAAGGGAGCGCAGGGCGCTGATCAGGTCAGGACGACTTGCTAAATCGAACTTTGGACCAGTTATGAAATCGAGGAAGTAGAGGCCGCGCGGTCGATGGTCGTAAGCCAACTCGTGAATAGTTTTGCCTTCCCATTGGGAGAAGTTGAACACATAACGTGTCTTGTTGTAAGGGCGTAAACGCCGGTTGTCCGCAGTAGGTTTGAAGAAGTATGGCTTAACAAGGGTGGGAAAAGGCTTTTTATCTGGAGAACTGTACTTGCCGATGCGGCCGTGTTGGATGCGGCCCGACATACTGGCTTCCACGACCTTGGGAACCTAGGTAGTACCTGTAATAGGACTTGTTGGTCACAGGCTGGAGATACTTGCGGAGTGAGGGTCTTACTGCTTTGGAAACAAGTGGAAGTGTCTTGAGAAAAGAACGCAGTGGCAGAAAGAGAGATGCGTAAATTGCGGATGATTGAGTCTGGGATATAAGTTTCATGTCTCGGTGATTCTAACAAGCTAGTTTGTTTACGGTTAGCCAGCCCCTGGGATCGTCATGAACTGAAGAAGTATAGATCGATACGCAAAGGCCACAGCTTACTCAGGCACTACTGTCTTCTGCATGTTATGGAGTAGATGAGCAGATCTCACATTCTTGAATCATCAAATAACACACCTCTAACCCTCCAAAAACCTCGCAACAAATTGCGCAACCTCCGCTGGCCTCTCCACCATGGGCAAATGACCCGCCCCCTCAACAACCTTAAGCTCAACCCCACTCCCCAACTTATCCGCCATGTTCTCCTTCATAGTCTTAGGCAGCACACCATCCCCCGCACCCACCAAGAATGCACCTTTGCCCTTATACCCCGCCATCTTCTCCCTAATATCATACTGATGCAATGCTTTGACCGAGTCTCTAAACCCAGCCAGTGAATTCGTCTTAACCATGTCCTTTACGCGCTGAATCTTCTTCGCCAGCTCCGCATCGTCGTAGGACTCTTTGACGAACCAGCGGCGCACCGTCACTTCTGCGAGTTCTTCGCCGACAATGGGCTCGCCGGAGGAGGCTGTTAGACCTTCTTTCTCAGCAACGGCGACTCGGTCGTTCCAGGCATTTGCGTTGGATGGGGGCGCGAAGGCGTTGGTGTCGCAGCCTATGAAGGCGGAGATGCGGTCCGGGTAGGAGAGGCCTGCGTTGAGTGCTGTTGCGCCGCCGAGGGAGACACCGACGATGGATGCTTTCTTCACTCGCAGGGCGTCGAGGAGAGCGATGACGTCGTCTGTAAGTGTATGCACTGTGATGGGCGATGTGGTATTCGATGGAAGTGTGTTGCGGCCTCGGGTGCTGTATCGGAGGATGCGGTACTTGTTGTTTGTGGCTTTTGTGAACTCGGCTACGAATTCGTCCCAGATACCGTAGTCGACAAGTATACTGTTTGAGAGGACGAGCAGAGACGCGTTGGGGTCGCTGGAGCCTTCGAGGCGGTACGGCAGTTGCACGCCGTCTTTTGTTGTGACGAAGCTCTCGATGACTGGTCGCTTCTCTGGTGTGGTGTGCGCAGGATGTGTCTTGACCATGCCTTCTGAACTCTCTGCTGGTACTGTGTCTTTGCTCGCCAGACTTTGGAGGTCGCGCTGTGCAGCACCAAAGGTGTAGTAGAGATCGTACACCCTCCTCTTCCTGTCTTTTACGACATCTTTGTAGATCTTGTCGCACCACTCTGTTGTAGTTGCAGCCTTGAACTCTGGTCCTCCGAGCCCATTCTGCGGCGCGTACTCATGCAGCGCGAGGTACTCTTTCTCGGTCTTGTGTCCGCTCTCCAGATCTAGGTATGATGTTACGAATCTCCTCGTTCTCCTCCAACCGGGCACCTTTTGCAGAAGAGGTACATGCTCCTCATCATACCACTTCTTCAGCTCCTCTTCCTTGTCTGCGCCCTCGTGCAGCGCAAAGCTCACAGCAATCATGACGTTCTTCTCTCCCTCGTTTTCAACTTTCTGCAGGTCCTTGAAGTCTCCACCCTTCCACTCCCCCAGCAGGTCGTAAGATCGCCTGTCGACGAATATCTGCCTCATAGTGTCGCGTTCTCGTTGCGATTGCACCGGTGCGCTTCGGAGTTTCGTGTACGGCTCTCTCGTCAACCACTCGAGCTCGTCGAAATCGTAGATGGCCATCCATTCCGGCTTATCTTTGGATCCAGACGCGCTCTCGAGATCCGTGGCGCGATAGCGGAAGCCATTGTTACAAAAGGGGAGGCGCAGGCGATTGGGGCCGTGTTCGTTCTGGTACCTTGGAGGGAAGAGTGTCAGGTGTGATCGTGAAGTGGCAAGGATGCGACTGCGGAGGGGTCAACTCACCAATCGTGGAACTGTGCTTCAGGCAAGCCCTCCTTGGGCTGCATCGTCACGTACAAGATGCCTGGTGTTGATTTGGCTGCCATTGTATCTGTTGTGTGGGGTAGCTGTGCACTTCAGTGTAAGTGTCGTAAGTAGCTGAGAGACGACTGGGTGGGAATGGAAGATTGGAAAACGATTAGATTCGATGGTTGCGACTATACTACTCCAATTATCTCGTGCAGGCCATGACGAAGTTGGGGAAAGAAGAGCTCCCCCGATGACATCTGCCGGCTGGCGTTAGTTCGGGCGACGGCGGTACCGTCCACGGGTTGCCCCTCATTCTTCCGAGGCTGAACACAGACCCGCCGCTACCACGCGTGTACGCGACGCTTCGGGACGTGGAGGACCATCAATGCATGCAGTACTCACCCACATCAAAGTTCATGCTAACATACTAAAATGCTGTGGCGTAATGCTGATTCTCTTGATTCTAACTAAGTGTCCTCTATGCCCAAGTATTGTGTATCGGTCTAGTCGTACCAGATAGCATTCATACCAAAGCCCTTCTCACCAATCTCCAACCTCGCAACTCTTGCTAGAAACTCGTGATGCCATCTATAGATCTCCACGCCGCCCTTCTCATCATCTGTAAGCGCTAACCACTCATCGGACCAAGGACACGGCGATACTGCATTCGAATGGCCACCAGAAGTCGGCGTGGGATTGAGGCAGATTTGTCGCTCAATGGCGCCTGAGGGGGCGATCTTGAATGCGGCAATGTAACCAGTAAGGGAGAAGGAATTGGATCGGGAGGTTGCGAAGAGGTAGTTTGAGGATTTAGTGAGGAAGCAAACGTCGGAACGGTACATCGTGGTTGCGTTAGGGATACCTGGAGACACTTAGCAAAGAACTAGAAGGTGTAGAAGGGTACTTTACCAGGTGGAATCAATGGGTACGTCTTGTGAGTGTAGACGGGAAGCTTCGTCTGCGGATCAATCACGTACTCGCACAACCGATTCCCTCCCTCCATCAAGGCATACAAATAGTTGCCTGACGGATGCATCTCTACCCATCTAGGATGGTCTTTCGGCGCGGGCGCCTCAGTGAAGCCTACTGTTTCAAGCCTTCCCTCGTCATCTATCTTCTTATGGCACCAGACCCGATTGGCCCACATGTCTGCGCTGTAGAGATAGGTCTCTGAGGGGTCGAAGACCATACCGTGAATGGCAGTCTTGTCGCAGTACTCGAAATTCTGGATGTTCTCTTTGATGTGACCTTCGGGGTTGACTGAGAAGATGTTGCCGTAGCCAGCATAGTCATAGAAAGGGTTGCAGTATACGGCATACGGAGGCTTCTGGGCGGGAAGAAGGAAGATCGCACGCGTCTTGGTATTGGCATCATTTGCTTTGGCTGTGGAACTTGTCAGTAACAGCAAACCTGCATTGATGTTCTGTCACTTACGATGTCCACCCATGGGTAAGCTGCCTGTATGCACAATCTCACTCGGGCTCTTGACCTCGTGCGAGCTCCATTTCTTCATAGAAGCACCGTAGATGTTCTTTCTCTTGTGCTGTCATCCTAGTCATCAGCAATCGTTGGTCGCATCGAGGTCCAGACATTGCGCGCATACGTCGAAAGCCATCCAGCTTATGGGCTCATCCTCCGGGATCTCCGTCTTCTTCACCAACTCCAGCTTCAATGTTTCATCATCGAATGCGACTGTGATGATCACACCTGGCGGCGTCCAAGTGCCGATCATGAGGTGATGTTTGACCATGTTGGTGGTTGCTTCCTTGCACGGAACGTGTCTTTCGTGTAAACAAACAGCTCGCAGCAAAAGCTGTCACTCTGGGATGTATGCCGAATCCTCCTTCCACTCTGCGATAATTCAGCCATCGCGTCGCGTCTCTAGACTTCCGGGGTCTGCGCCGAAGGCGGGGCATTAGTGCTGATGGCGCTAGATTGCGAGGGAAAAAGGCCGGGTAAGACTTCTTCCACATCGGCTCCCTTTTAATTCGCCAACCCGCCCAGCGCGAGGCGGGGCAGCCGTCGCGACCTGGCGCAGCCTTCGGCACTGTAGCTCCTCACGCTCATAGTACGCTTGAAAGCCGGTACAGCATGCCGCCAGACAGCTCTGACAAGGTCTCGCCTGATCCGCGGCTAGAGAGACGGCCATTGTTAACGGTATCGGTTCGGTTGGCTGCGGGCGGTAGAATTCAGTTACTATTTATTAAGCTCTTGCCTCCCAGGCATGATGTCTATTCCGTACTACTCCCCTTCACCAGCCCTTTGATACCCTTTGTACCTTGATTCCCTATATACACATACAAAATGGACCCAAACACACAGACAGCGCCCGAGGTTCAGGAAAATGGCTCGCACCGCTTCGACCCTAACTTCACCGACGCCGTCATCAACGCTATTGGACCAAATGTGCCAGACCGGACGCGTTTTGTCATGGGCAAGCTGATCAGACATCTTCACGACTTCATTCGCGAGGTCGAGCTTACCAACGAGGAGTGGTTTGAGGGCGTGCGATTTGTGAACTCCATTGGCAAGACCACAACAGCCACCAGGAACGAGGCGCATCGTATTTCAGATGTGCTAGGTGTAGAATCGTAAGTCGTCAAACCTTCAGCAAGACCAAACGTCATACTAACTTCTACCCAGATTGGTCGACGAGATCGCACACAAGCACATCAACGAGTCTGGCGAGACACCCACCTCCTCCACAATCCTCGGCCCCTTCTGGTCACCACACTCGCCATTCCGCGACCTCGGCGACACCATCATCCGAAACCCGCATCCCGATGGCCAAACCACTCTCATGCACGGTGTAGTCATGGACCTCGACACCAAGAAGGGCATCCCAAACGCCGTCATCGACATCTGGCAAGCGAGCGCAAACGGAAAGTACGACTTCCAAGATCCCGAGAACCAGGAGCCCAACAACCTGCGCGGAAAGTTCA